GAAAAAAAAAAAATAACAATTTGGCAACAAATAACAACTAGTCCAGTAAACATGTAGATCAACCAGGCCAATACATGGTATATTAAAAAGGAAAATAGGACAAACCGTGCCATCTACTGAAGCCGATACCAAACGTGTTGTCATCCACTGGCACATAGACAAGTCAGACACTTCTCCATCATGGCTGCCAACTAGTTGGACCCCGTCAATCAATTTATTAATGGGGCAAGTAAGTGGTTCCTCAGCTGAAAACTTTTCACTTTTTCCAACTTTTGTGGTGTCTATCTTCAAAACATATCTTCCAATTCCCACCACAAGAACTTCCTGCAAGAAAATTACATGGTAAACCTAAATAAAGCTCTGAAAAATAAAGGCACAATTGTCAATCAAAGAAGAGGGACATAATTTACTTGTTTATGACAATGCCAACAAACTCTAGGATGAACAGAGTCCCCTTGTGCAGTAATCTGTATAGCAATATTGATCCTTCCAGTAATTTGAGGTTTGTCTTCTTCATCTGGACCTTCGGTAATTTTCCAGACATAAACCCGACCATCCACACTTGCACTGTATTCAAGATGGTTAGAATATTAAGCACAAAATGTGACATGTACATAACAACAACTGATGAAGAGGATACCTAGCCAAAAGGGGAACATCCTCAGCAAAGAAAGCCATGTCGGTGACCCTCTGAAATTATGCATTGGAAATTGTACATTGCGATAAATGAAGCTATATTATTGTCATTAAATAATAATAACAATAATCGTAATAATACTCTCATAATGCTGTGATTCCAATATGCAATCACATCTTATTTCATAGGATGTTTCACATCATTGATCTCGTGGCCATTGAACAAAAAAAAAAAAGAAAAATCAGTTGAACTCAGATAATTTTGATCAAGATATTTATGGTGTCTTGATCTGATCCGTACTGAAAAAGTAAAACGAGGAAAGTGGTAAAAACTAACCTGGCCTAATCCTTTTAGCAATGATCTCAGAGCAGTATTGATATTGAGCACCCTTATAGCGCCCAATTTCAGCCCATAGCATATATACGTTTTATTAACTGCAATCTGTCTGCCTACAACTAGCCCAGGGTCTGAACCATATTTTGTAATGGGTGTAACCTCTAGCTGAGGCTGCACCTCGCCGGGAAATCTGACATCTATGTCGTAAACCAACCGATCTCCAGTCAGATGCCGTCCCTTAGGGAGTTTACTGCTCGGCATCCGCATCACAGGCGACTGGTGCGAAATCACAGAACCCGGCCCAGATGGCAGGTTCTGCTGTAAGAAGAAATCCGAGCCCGAAGAGGAAGTCGGATGGATTTGAGGCATAGCCATAGAAGTCTGCTGCTGAGGGACTTGGAGCGTGGACGGAGGCGCACCCAATAGCGCCATCAACCGAGCTCCATGGTTATTAGGGTTTTGGGGATTAGGGGGGTTGCTGAAATTGGGATGATGAGGGGCCGTAGGCGACTGCCCCTGTGGCTGGAGTGGCGGCGTGGGAAAAGACAGCGACCTCTGCGGATGCGCGTCCTGGTGGGGCTGCGGTGGGTTGGAAAAGGCGGGGTAGACAGGATGGTAGTGGAAGGGCGCCGTCTGGGGCGGAAAGGAGTAGGCGCCTCCGGTGGGCGGAGGGTAGGAGGCGGAGGGCGGCGGGAAAGGGGCCGAAGACATATTAGGGTTAGTGACAGCGACAAAATTTTGGGGATTAGGGTTGGAATTGGGAAGAGAGGTGGAGGGAGGCGGAGGAGGGTTGAATAATTTCTGCATATCGAAGGCCGGTGGGTTTGGGGATGCCATTTTTGTTGTTAACTATGGAGTTGAACTGCAAACAACTAGTGAAAGATGGCCTGGGCTGTGTGTGTTATAGGTTGAGTGGTGAGTATGTATGGTGGGGTAGGATGGATCTGGGAAAGAGAGCCCCAGCTGGAGAATGTGCACTGGGTTCGGTTGTTGTCAAGTGAGGAAGAAAGACTCTTGGGATTGGGTTTGGGAGACAACAAAACAAATATGAGAAAAATAACAATTATTAGAACTTTAAGGAAAACCAACTTTCCTCTGTCTGAGTAGCTCAGTTGGTAGCACACTTCGCTCAAAATTTGATTTTGGGATGAAATCACGCTTAAACTTCATTTGGGCTTTTCCTGTTATGTGCGTTTCACGTTCGTAAGACCGTACCTGTTTCTACTCACAATTTTTACATGGTATCAGAGTCGGTGTTATCATCCAACTCGGTAATCCACTATTAAGGGCCTCAAACAGCGTCTTAGGCAACATTAACACCTCCACCGACATGGACCGAAGTCATCCCGGTTCACACGGCAAACCGGTATAACCATAGAAGACCGAAGTGATCATTGTCAACCGATGTCACTCCAACCGAGATCAACACGAACCGAGGTCGTCACCTCCTAAGTAGGTGACAAGGCGCCTACACGCCATTCTCGCAACCTACGAGGTCTGCCATTATTCAAGTGTGACCCTCTGACCCTGTCGCCCATCAAAAAGTAGCTTTATAGAAAAAGCAATGCACGAATCCCGATATGTGTATCAAAAAATTACTATAAATAGCGAACTGATAGTACTTGTAAGGGATTCGATTCGATTTTCCCGAACCGAACTCTTTTATGATGAAACACGTAACAGCTCTCAGAAGCTTTTCACCTCGGTTCACCTCGGACCGGGGGCATTGTTGAGCATTTTATACATACTTTACGTTCAAATCACTCATAATCATCGAGTAAAACTATCATCAGACTGTTGTTAATAATCGCATAACAACAGTTTGGCGCTAGAAGGAGGGCCTCATAAGTTATTTGAGGTTAATCTCCGATTCGTGTATTGTTACCCACATCAATCGCTACAACTATGTCTCATTCAGACCATCGTGGTCATACATCGCGCGATGGCCACAGTCGCAGCGCCGCTCAGTCTGCCAGACGCCAAGCAGCAGCTCCCAATATCCCAGATTATACTGTTCTGTTCCAAAATCTGGAGTTTGCACGTGGATTCGCCGCTTTGATGGCTCAAACAATCCCTGGAACATCAACGACTGCTCCAGGACATTCCATAATACCCACAACTCCTGCTAATCCGCAGATTCCACCGGCGCGACAAGACGGTGGTAGAACCACCTCTCACGCCACGTCTCAACCTCGCAGTCGAAGTCGCAGCCGCACCCAGAACAAACTACGCGTCACGCTGACGTTGAGCGTAATCCCCTTGTAATCCCTCGTGAAGAAACCGCTGAGAGTCAGTCTGGACACTCACGGCGTTCGCCACCTCATACGCGACACTGAATCCCCACTAACCCGGCGCAGACCGACCTTCGTCAGCATATTGAGAGAAACCGAGCTCGACAAGAATCATCCGAACTTGAAACGTTGCGACGAAGAATCGCCGAATTGGAAAGTCGGCAAAGAATGCCTGAAGACCCCCCTCGACAGGCCTCGACCTCGGCGCAAGTATACCTGGAAGCCGACTCCCCTCTCACGCCAGAACTCACTTCGAAACCTGTACCCGGAAAAGTTAAAGTTCCTCAAATCGGGTTATACGATGGGACTTCGAACCCGACTCACACCTTGGTCACTACACATCGTGGATGAACCTGTATGGGGCCTCAGACGCACTTCGGTGTCGTATGTTTTCTCTTACGTTGGGACCTCGAGCCCAAAAATGGTACCACTCTCTTCCTCCTCACTCTATTTGGAAGAGGCAGCAATTGAGGTCGGCCTTCCGATCTCACTTCATTGGGGCCCAATTCTGTTTAGTACCAAAAGAATCCCTTGCAAATGTAACTCAAAAAGACAATGAAAGCGTCAAGGATTATATTGCTCGATTTAATGACCGAGTTCAGAATATGGAGTCGTGTCACCTCGAAACCTTGCTTGTTATGGCTATCGCCGGGTTGAAACCAAACTCGATTTTCCGCTGGACATTGTGCCAGAATAAGCCGAATACCTTCCAGGAATTCCTTGCCCGGGCTCAGCAACATATCATTGCCGAGGAAGCCATGTCGGTCCCCGATTTTAATTTAAATCCGAAGTCATCGAATTCGAGAACCGATGAAAGAAAGAAAAACAAGTCCTTTGACAAACAAAACAAGGCTCAATTTAGAGGTTATCCTCGAGGAGACGCCAACGATCCCGAAATAAGAGTAGCCCAAAAACAATATGCTACCGATGTGAAATCCGGTTATCAAACCGTTTATTCAGCCGGAGCTGCTACCATTTATGAAGAAATCAAGGGAAAAGGCATTCTGCCCGATCCCAAACCACTTCGAATGCCTGAGGAAAAGTTGGACAAATCGCGATATTGTGACTATCACAAATCACCGGGGCACAACACTGATGAGTCTTTGAGTCTGTTAGCTGCCTTGCTGCGCTTAATTGGTCATCTGCAACTCAAAAAGTTTTATCGTAACACTGATCCTAAAAAACGGGGGCCGGGACGTCAAATTGAACCGTATGATGAGGATGAAGATGAGGACCGAGGTGTTATGCCGAAACGCATCCGACAAGGAGACAAAGAAGTGTACATGTTTACCTCAGAAACAATCAACAGTGAAATAACTAGGAACTCTCGAAGATGTAAAAGAAGCCGATCTCCTAGCCCGATGCAAATCACCGTCCATCGAATAAACACAAATAACTCCCGAGGTACTTTATCTCGTCGGCAAGTTAAAGCCTACTGTTTGTCCCATTTTTGTTGTGTTTTTCGTTGTCTTTTTGCCGTTCTTTTTCCCCCGTATTGAGTCATTTAGGTGGTTTTAGGATCTTTTTGTCATTTATTACGTGTTTTGCGTTCTTTTGAGTGTTGCGGTGTTTTCCGTTTGTTTTCTGGTCTTTTTCTGTTCTCTTTTCGTTTTTGGTGTGTAGTTTGGAGACCCTGGGAGAACAGGTTTTCGAGAATCTTTTGGGGAGGCTGACACCATTAGAAATAGGGGCTCGTTAGCGACGCGTAGGAAAAAACGGAGCTCAATTCCGAGTTCGGACGAGCCCAAACGAGCCAAAAACACAAAGTTGCACTGCCAGACACCTTAGCGGCGCTAAGGCACCTTAGCGGCGCTAAGCCTGGCCTTAGCGGAGCTATGAAATGTTAGCGACTTCAGAGG